ATTAAAGGCTTACACAACTGTAAATAATACCTTGTCAGAGTCCGTCAAATAGCACAAGTTCTCATGCATATGACCAGCTGCCAACAAAAACTCCAAAGTTTTTCAGTGAAAGAGAGAAAAACATCATGTTCAAGAAACCCAGGAAAGAAATTACTCTTGATTTGGATGAAAAGAATCTGAAGCAGATGGGCTAATAGAAGTAATTAGACTTATAGATTGTTTTTTATCTGATCTTGTTAATCAGAAATGCCAAATCAAATTCCTGAAGAAATGTCACATAACATAAGGGCTGAACAAAACCTTTGAAATAATGCATTGTAGGGCCCTCAACCTATATTAACATACTTACAATTCATTATTAAGCATAACTTTTGCCTGTATTTTGGAATTATACTTTTCTCTGTGCAGTCTTATATCTTCTAAAACTCCAGTGTAAAACAAATAACTATACTTGTATTCAAAATGGTAATATCCAGTAAATAAAATTTAATCCATGTGTTTCATGGAAAAACAAAGCAATTACTCGATAGTCACATATTACACATTATATTACATATATATTTTCAAGCTAAAATTGAGCTCAGTGGAAGTGTAAGTTTCATTCAGAAGGTAGGAAGATAGTACTTAGCTTAGCTGATGCTGGTAAGAATCAAACAAGCTGAGCTCTAAGATTCTAGAACAATTACTACAGCTATGGAAATTTCTTTCTAGAGTGTAAATTTTTGTCTTCTTTGTCTAAAACAAAAAGCAAAGGCCTATATAAAACTGGCAACAGTTCACCAAATATAGTCCCTCTTGATTGTCTATTTAAAGTTTTATATTTTAGTTATTAAACTGGAGATAAATGAATATTTTCTTTGAAAGAGAATCTTATGATAAATTTATAATCAGTTCACCAAATATAGTCCCTCTTGATTGTCTATTTAAAGTTTTATATTTTAATTATTAAACTGGAGATAAATGAATATTTTCTTTGAAAGAGAATCTTATGATAAATTTATAATTAAGTAGTTGATATAACAACGTGAACAGGCAAAATTAAATAGCACTTTAAACATCTGTGGAAACAATGAAATGTCTTTACAGAAGTTGAAAACTCAAGATTTATTTTCCTTATAAAGAAGGGAAGGGAAAACACAATAAGAAATAAATAGAATAAGACAGAATTGAAAAAAGTAAAAGATTTATCAGATCCATAAGCATATAAGTAAGATAAAAGCAAGCCAGAGTAAAGGATGTTCTTATTAGAAAACAAATATGTCATAGCACCTGGGATTTATTTGGGAATACCTTATGTCTGTCATCTCCTACATTTCTAGGTACATAACATTTCACTTTGGTAGTATTTCTTCTTACCAAATACACAGGCTTCAAGGAAGTAATAGAACCTGTGATACCACTTTTAACTAATTTGTCACAGTCTGTTCTTTTCCTGGAATGTTTGTATAAATCTTTGATCGAAAAGTAAATATAAAAGTCACTGTATCAACATGATAAATAAGCCCTTGGTTTAAGTTGAATATTTAACTTGCATGCCCATCTATCCCCGTTAAAAATAGATTAAATTTACTTACTTTTTAAATAAAGTAGGACAAATAATGCTACTTTGTAGTTAAGAAAATTAAGGTAAATCTATTATATGAGTTAGTAGTGATGAGATTAATACTCATTTAAATTAAAAATGAGGAATAAACAGCATTGCATTGAGTTTGGGGTAAAACAATGGAATCTTCTCTGATGTTCAAATTTGATGTTCATCTTGAAAATTATGATAAACAAAAGATTTGCCCAATGAAAACAGGAAAAGCAAGATTATAGTGAAGTAAATTGACTATGAGATTGTTTTTCAATTTCCTCAACAATATTTTTCTATTTCTCCTGGTTTTGTTCAGATGTGATTTCCATATTTATGTCCGAAGGGCAAATCGTTTGAAGCTTTGAGATGTTTGTGGGTCGATAGTTTTTTTCTATCTGACTGTACATGTTAGCAACTGACTTTTCAAGTTCTGCTAAATTTTTCACATGTTTGAGGACGCCTTTTGGTTCTCTTTGAGGGTCTGCATGGCACATTGTCATTGATGTTGATAGCTGTGTCCTAGAGGATTGGATTTCCTTGGAAGGTGCTGTGTTGGTAGTGCATTTAGCAACGGGTATGCAAACACACTCTGTAGATGGAAATGAAGCTGAAGGAGGCGGTGGGCAAGGGAGAGAAGGGGGTGAAGCAAGAACAGGAAGTGAAGGTAGAAGAGCAGGAGGAGAAGAAGGGGCAGCAGAAGTAGGGACAGAAAGTGGAAGGAGGGAACGAGGAGGAAGAGGAGGAGGAGGAGGAAAAGGAGGAGGAGAGGGAGAGCGAGAGGGAGGAAAGTTGTTTGCTGGATGGGAAAATTTTTCAAAAATGTTTCTCTTGGTTTCCACGGCTAGCATACAAGTGGGTGTCTGTCCCCTAAAGAGTGGAGCGTCTACAANTTGGTTTCCACGGCTAGCATACAAGTGGGTGTCTGTCCCCTAAAGAGTGGAGCGTCTACAATGCAATGCCTTGGAGGAGAAAGTTCTACAGAACAGTCAGCAGGGGGCGTGGGGACAAGAGGTTCTAATTTGAGTCCCACAGTCCTTGAGACAGTCGGCAAAGTGGAGAATGAGAAATGAGGCCAAGAGGGAAATGCAGAGTCTGAAGACAGAGATTTCAGCTGTTCTCTTCCTTTTATCATCAGTGATTCAACTTGACTTATTTCCTCTTTTTCTGCCAAATTTGCATCTTCAGGTGTAAGCAGTGAATTGCTGCTACCTCTTTTGTTTGAGTAGCTTCCAGAGCTTTCATTTTCAGCTTTCTGCCTCGTGCCATACCATTGCTGCAGATCTAGGATTTCTGGTCTGTTTGGAACTCTCCTCATCAGTGTCCCTGGAAGGCTGACTGGTTGATTCCACATCCTCTGAACCTTTTCTCTTGGGCCCCTCAGAGACTCACTCTTGGCTTGTGTTCTGGGTAAAAATGGGTTTACAAATTCTGTACTCAGTGAAGAGTCTGACTTTGTTGATCTTTGATCTATATTTTCCTTATAAAGGGGATTCTGGTTACTTAAGGCATCCTCATCAGATAGAAATGGGAATCTCCTTGCAGACTTTGCTTGGTTGTTCTTAAGTGATCCATCTACAGGAGCTGGCTTGTAAGCCTCAATAGTATTGGAAGAAAAGGGCATCACAACTTGCTGATGTTTCCTGTCTTCTGAGACTGAGTTATTTCCCCTGCTTTGTTGAAAATGGTAGAGAAGGAAAAGACTTGAAAGAAAAGAAGATAATGAAATGTAAGGAAACAAGTTGTGACATAGCTCTCATGAGAAAGATGCTCTTACAGTTCTCATTACTACGTCAAAACATAAAAGGCCAAACAGCACTAATCTACGGAAGCAAGACATTACTTTCAAGTCCCTATTCTCTAAAAAGGTAGAACAGAAAAATATTGAGTGGTGAGTAGCATGAGAAATTTTCATTTAAAATGCATGTGTCAATCTCTAGACTGTTTCTGCTTGTTTCAGGTACTTTGATACAGTAAAGTATCCATGTCCACACATCACAGTTTACTCATGTATAAATCACAATCCTCCAAATTACAGACCAACTTCTTGGCCACTGATTTCATATGCTCTGCCTTGCTTGAGGATGCTCACAGCTGACTGTTACAGATAAAAGTCCCTGAGCTGTATCTGGTTCAGTACCTGTTCATGCTCTCTCATCTCAGTTATTTAGTCTAAGAGCTAAAAGTACTCTCCCGAGACAAAATTTGCAAGAGAATACAGAAAGAGATATTCCATTATCCAGATTAAGAGAATTAAAGTCCTTAAGGACAGATGAGAGAGTTTTTCTCATGGAGTTCATAACCACAATTAAGAAACTAAATTAAGTATCTTGACAGATTATTTTCTTCTGTTTAAATTATACACTTTTAAATTTTAAAACATTACAAACAATACCAATCAGAACTGGTGCTGTTGGTATTTTCTTGAAGATGATCTGGACCAAATTTTAGTCAAGACTCACTTTAATAAAAAGGTTTATGTTAAAATATCACTGTTTTCACAAAACTGAAAGATATGGCCATGTATGAACAGTGAGTCACAGGTGACTGTGAGTCATAAATAAATTTGAAGTGAGTAAAGGAGCATAAATTAAGTGCATGTAATGAGAGCATTAGGACACTTCTCCAGAAAAGGTTGGGTGACATGTGGTTTTGAATATGTGGTCTCTCATTAGGTTTTGCTCTCAAGCCCAAACAGAATAAAATATTTATTTTAGTTACTGTTTGTTATTTCGCACTCAGCAAGAATAAGATGAAAGGAAAATATTTTGAATAGAAATTAAATAGCCACACTGAAAAATTAGGGTGATAGGTTAGGCAATAAAATAATACATAAAGGCAAAGTTGTTAATGTGTCATTTGGCAAATATACAGACTGTAAAAAAGAATTCTCACAGGTGGACCTGGACTATCATTCCCATCTGAATAATTCAAAAAGCTCAGAAAATTTGGATTAAACAGATAGCAAACCCTTTTTACTTTTCCTGATCTTGAAAAGTCATTTTCTACATGTCAAGAACCACAAGGCATGACATTACATGGCCATTGTTTCTGTGTAGATCTGATCTTGGCTTAATTTTTTCTTGGAAACAAAAACAATCTGTTTAATGATACCACATCGCTTTTGATCAAAATAAGCTTATAAATATTTTTAACAAATTAAAGGAGAATGAAAGGAGAAATTTAAAGTAGAATTTTGAAACCCCTCTCAGTAGGCACAAGTGCTATCACTGGGGACACTTGTTTTAAGCTCATGATGTTTCAGGGCATCAAAAGGAAATTGAGTGTGGAACAGAAAACATCCTTTTAAAAGTAAATGATTATGGTAAAAGAAGATCACTGTATTAATGGTGAAATATCACTTAAACTATTCTATTGCATCTTTTTTTTCTAATGCTCTTATATTAGAGTGATATTATTTACTTACTTATGCCTATGTATCCACAGGTGAGAAAGAGAAAACATGTGATAGAAAAAAAAATGTTTAACTATAGTTAATTTGAGATTATTATGAAAATACTAACACCAACTTGTTTTAAACACTTAGTACCTGCATTCAAACAAGAAAATGCATGTTTTTATATTTTCTTTGTGTTCATTTATAAGAAAGATATCAAATAATGTTTTAGATAAAATTATCTGGCATTTATTTGAATATCTTACCATATCAAATTATATCCACTTACTATACATAGGTAAAATTTACTTCTATTAAACATGGATGATTTCGCTCCTAAAATAGAAATTTTAAATGAGAATCTAAGAATTACTTCTATGTCCTAACTCTGAAAAAATGCTTAGTGTGCACTGATTTATAAAGAAGATATATTTTGTTAGTAAAAAAGTAAATTTACAGGTACAGTGATGACTATTACAGAATAACTATTGAATCTATATCAAGTTATTAATTATTTTGTGATGTTACTTCTTTCAAAATGACTTTCTCCTTTTAAAATAATTGATAACTCATTAACAGCTCATTCATTTTCTATGATTAGAATCCCTGCAAAAAGTTTTTGAATAGATAAACATCATAAAGATATTTAAACATTTATAAGTTAAAATATTTCAATAAATACATGTATTATAATTGCAAAACCTTCTACTAAGTCCACTACACTTTTCAAAACAAATGGTCTGTAAGTGTTGCTATTTGAAAATTACCACCATCAAACTATATTGATTCCAGATGATGTTACAGTAAACCTGCTTTTGTTAAATTAAAATGAATATATATTATTCACTGATTTCATGCATAAACACTCTTAACTTTACACGTAATGCTTTTTTAGTTTCTAAACATCTTTGCTGGAGAGATGTGGTTAATATAATTAAATAGAGTCAAATCACATTGGCTCAATTCCTGCATTCACCAATAATTTTAAAAGAGACCAACATAATCAACTTGAAAAATAAAAAAGGAATATTTAAAGCATGAATCCTCAATTTTATTATTTTAGAAACAGAATGTCATTTATTAAACTACTTTAAATTCAGTTTTAGTCTAAAAAGAATAGCATTAAAATAAACTTTAGCATTATTAAGACTATTCTAAACATAACCTGGTATAATATATGACAAATAATATTAATACATCTGTTTAAAACCGGTTATCCCACTCAAAGATGAATTTCATGATTTTTGAGGGTTACTTTATTCCTAGTAGTAAATGCTACAAATGTAACATGTAAGAACATATTTTTGTCCCTCTACTCTGCCAAATTCCAATTTATAAAAGGTTTCTGGATTTAACTTCGTCATATTAAAAATTTTATAATATTCTTGGCTGTTTTACATATCAAGTCCAGAAGTAGTTACTCTTGAATTTTTAAAATAAAGATAAATTAAACATCATCAAAAGGAATCAGATTATGAGGGTAGCATCATTATAGAATCAGCTATGAAGTCTCTTAACAGCAAGTTGAATCTCTTTCAAAAATATATGATTTAAAATTGCTTAGAGATACCAAATAGTGTAGGGGAAATATTAAGTAATAATAGCAAAGAGTATATAATGAAAAGTATATGTTCTAAGGAGTTGGACATTTAATATATGAATTGTTTATTTTCATTCAGCTTTTAATTACTATGTTATATAATGTCTTAAAATAGTATCTTAGATGAGTCAACGATTTTAAACCATAGAATTTGATTTCGATTATCAAACGGGTTGGTTTTCATACTAAATCAGGAATTACCATTTTGTGATTGTGCTATGTTCTCCTAATCTCCTTTGTGGAAAACTTTAATTTTCAGAGTCTATTCCTAATTTTTGAAAAAAAAAAAAAATTCTACACGACCCCAAAGATTGAGATATTAAATATATTATCCAAGCTATAAATCTGCAATTGTCTCCTCAAATTGAATACTGCTTTGCTTTCAGGTTTTTTTAACCTTTTTTTTTTTTTTTTTTTTTTTTTTGGTTGTTACTTCTCATCTTAATTTTTGTGTCAGGTTCTCATCTTAGCAATCTTCTGTGTTTTACAAAATAAAATATTCTAAATAGTTTGAAAGCTGCATTTTCACATCACGTCGAAATGAAATACTCACCATACAGCATCTATTAAAACCCCTTTACTTGTCAACGTTCCTGAAAGATCTACTTACATCGAGCTGTCTCCCAGTTCTTCATAGAGATGCGCACCCGGAGGTGGCGGCGGCGGTGGCGGGGGCGCTGCCACTGGGGCGGGGGTGGGCGCTGCTGGTTTAGCTGCGGGCAAGGCGGCTTGAATTCGTGCTGTCTTGGTGCACTCAGCCTGGCGTCTTCGGTAAAGTAAAGACGTCTTGTAAAACTCATCTTAGAAATAATATGCTTATCAATAGGCTACCTTTTAATAGTGAGGTCCAGTTATCAGAGGAACCCACTTAAAATCTTTTACCCAGATTTTTGAACTCATAAACCGATAGAATTACGAAAGCGCCCCCACAGGGTCTTATTTAACTATAATCCCCCCCTTAGTTATTTAGGGATTGAATTCAATAGAAATATTTGTAAATTAAATTAAATGATAATAGGAGAATGCAAAAGCTTTATAAAAACGTGATTGATAATTGGTAGTTTAATGGATCTCTTTCAAAAGATGAGGTATGTGGAATATAAAAAAAATACATTGTTTGTCTCTAAAGAATAGATATATTATTTAAAAATGATTTGAAGCATTTTGACATTGATTTACTGAGTCTGTGTAGCTGTGTACGTGTAAGAGGGAGATCTGATTAGTTTTTATATCCTTTTGGTTCCTAGTTATTATGCCTGGCATTCTTCTGTTAGAGCTAGGCTGCTGTTTTTGAATGTCCTGGACTGTTAATTCCTTCCTCAAATCCAAGATCTCAAAGTGTGGAAACTATTCGAAAAAATTGCCTTTTTCACATTTATGCCAGTTATATCCAATTGCCTACAATCAGCTCAATTCTACATATATCAAACCAAAAAGTGTACAACTATTACAAATGCAAAACAAACAAATAGTACATGCTTCTGTGCAGAATGCTTATTTCGTCAATATGAATTTGGGTATTTCTTTTATTATTACTTAAAATCATGTCCAAAATATTAGTAATTATACTTACACTTTAAATCTGTTTGGAAAAGCAATGAGTGAGTAGGAAAAAAGAGAAAGCCACATTAGAAATACTGCATTCATTATATCTTAGCATCTGATTGACTCTAAATTGTAAATAATTTACTGGTTAAACGCATTATGACAGAGTTAATGGCACAGAAGGAAAAACCAACTATTTCAAATCAGAAAGTGAAAACTGTTGAGTACTTTTTATTACTGTTACAGTCATACAAGCTGTTAAAACAGAGGAAAAGAAAGAAATGAACTAAATAGAAAAAGAAAAACTGGGTTAAAACATGGATATGTAAATTTCAACTCTAATGGAGAAATAATGATCTGATCTTTATAATTAGCTTCTCAGTTTACTCTGCTTGAAGACTTAACAGAATGGAATCATGCAGCAACCCTGATTATACCCTTGGACCACGATAAAGCTAACACTAGAATTGGAAGGTGTCACTCCTGGGCAATGCACTCATGACATTTTTTTCATGTTTGCGTCTTAGTTTTCCATACATGGCAAATTTCAAAGATTCATCATTATACAAAAGCATAGCCATCCATTCCTATCTTATTTACAAGCAGAATATGAAGGTACACGTGTTAGATCTGTAAATATTAAAATTTTTCTTTGACATATGAACAAAGTGAAACTCATTTTATTTAATTCCGTTAATCTTCAAAAGCAGTAAATAAAATAAACTCAAAGAATTGAACTGAACTAAAGGAGAATTAAAAAATGTATCTACAAATTGTTCAAATATTAAGCAGCTAATTTTTTGTTAAATTTCACACCACCGATTATAACATCCAGAGTGCTTTAGTTCTGATCATTGCATTGTGTGCCAAATATAAGAATTTTTCTCACTAATTTTATTGCTAGCAAGATGTAATAAAAATCCTTCGGGAAATAGTTAAATGAAAAAAGATAACTGGAATTACAGAATAGATTTAACATGAAAATTAATATTGGGTCGATGGCTTAATAATTTGAAACAATTTGTCCAGTATTAAGTTTGTTCATAGGCTTTAGAATTAGCACATAAATTGATTTGTTAAGGATATATTAAGCTCCATTATATCAAGCTAAATGTTATATTTGCAATTTCACATTGCTTTTCTGATAGAAAATATTCCTATAGTGTCTTCATGTAGGGAATACTTTGGGGTTTCAGGTTGGAATTACCTTAACTTATTCAACTCAAAAGAAAATTTTCAGTGTTTGAGAGCAAAGATAACAGTTTAAGAATATATAAGGACTATTTTAGTGCTTTTCTGGTAGATATTTTAAATGACGAATTGCAATTGTCCCATTATTTCCTACTGTTTCCTATATCAAGTAATGTATATTTTTATGATTCCTATCTGTTATTTATTTTTGTGTGTTTGGCACTCTCAGGGCTACCCTTCTCTTAACTTGTTCCTCAGTTATTTCAAATCACTGGCTGTAGGGATATACTTAAAATTTGTAGTCCTCTATCACAAAGGTTTTCCATACCTAGTGCCAAATAAAGAATATATTACTAGTCTATCTCAAATATAGATGTTTAAATTATTTATAATTATTTGACTACATTGAAGGGCCTAAATAAAACATATATAGATATTATAAATGGTTATATTTGACTATAGGAACTGTAAAAACTAAGAACCTGCACAGCCAAAATATGCTGTCAGATATTACAATGTAGGCTCTGGCAAGGCTACCCGGGAAGGAAGAAATCACATGGAAAATTAATATGGTACTCTATGATTTTTACTAACACTGTGATCATCTGCACAGAGGTAAATTTAACAGTACGGATAAAAACCTATTATGACAATATAGTGAGGTTACAGGACTTCTCTTGGAACTGAGCAAAGTGAGTATCTGCATTTGACATTCCACTGCCTTTTTCCCAGAATACCTGCACTTTCTCTCCCTAAGCTCTTAATCAAAAACAGAGCATAAACAAAGCCACAGGAGCTAACCTAATACTCCTATTAGATGAGACCATATTAGGAGCATAGGAACACTGAGCCATCTGCAAAAAAAAAGTGTATTTAAAGTTTGCATTGTTTTTCCTTGGAAGAAGGTGATTTGGTACAAGAAGGATAAAGCAGTTCCCGAATGGCTGCATTATCAGTATTTCACAGCTACAAGCCATGTTATGAGAAATGATTTTTTACTATGTCTTTTTGAGAACCTATCCATATTTAGCATCTTTGCATACTTACTGTCTGTAGCTCACCAAAACCACCAAGATGGCAGGAATGCAGCAGAGGATGATGATGAAGGCCAGAGCCAGCAAGGCTCCCTCTGTGTACCCTAGACTTTCTCCTCTCTTTTTAATGCTGGTCACTGCCTCTGGAGTCCGGATCTCCAGAATGCGTCCTCCTTCCCCATAAAACGGCTGGAAATCTTTATTGATATCGAGCAGTTTGCCATCCAAAAATCTTTATTGTTAGATAAATACCAAAATTAATAATGTTAACAGAGAAAGGCCTTTTACAAATAAAATTGTTTTTGTAACAGCTTTAAATATTTTATTTATTTGAAATGCAAGCTGAGTCAGAAGTCTTATGGATAAGAAAAGCACACATGAAAAGAATGAGCAATAAAGAACAATAACTGCACACAAATATCAAAGATATTAATAACAATGACCCTTACTTGCTATGGTTAAAGACTTAAAAAAAAAATAATTATCAGTGTCATCGAACTTGTTATCACTGTTGAGAAAATTGAGTTATTAAGTTATTTAGTACACAAATATCAAAGATATTAATAACAATGACCCTTACTTGCTATGGTTAAAGACTTAAAAAAAAAAAAATTATCAGTGTCATCGAACTTGTTATCACTGTTGAGAAAATTGAGTTATTAAGTTATTTAGGCAGAAAAAATACAATATTCTAAATTACATAGCATAGTTTAAAATCATATTCACACATTTTTATCTCCTTGGGTTCTCAGAATAATTCTGTAAAAATGGAACATAACTATTCTGATTTATTGCAGGCCAGAAAGCTACACAATATTGGAGACAAATCTGAGACACCAACTTAAGTCTTCAGACTCAAAGTCTATATTTGTTTTCCGCTACACTACCTTAAATTTCAACCCTCTCAAATCTCAAACCAAAACAATGTTTAATGAGCAAAAGGTGAATAAATTAAAAGTTTTTTTTAAAAGGAGAATCAAGGGGTAATTGTTACTTAATTTTATTAGATTGACAAATTGTGTTACACATTTCCTACTTGATTAGCAGGTATAATAAGTTTTTTTCCAAAATTCCTCAGGAATTTTATGGAGTGCCTTATAAATCCTACATACTGATGCAACAATTGTGTTCTTAATACTACAATACCAGAAAATATTTGTTTGTTTAAAATTTTTTAAAAGGTTTTTATTTATAAAAGTCAAATGTCTTACTACAGAAAATTGGAAAACACAACATAGTTCAAGAAAAGCAAAATGATTTATAGTCTCATGATGCAAAGACGACCATAATTAATGCTAAGTTTTTGTTATAGTCGAGTCCAATCTTTTTTCTTTTGGTATTGATAAATATTTTAATATACTTATGACTTATACAGCATATACAAAGTGAAAATATTATTTTATAAATATATTTCTTAATATAAAAATACTAATGTTGATAAACATGGAAACACAAACCATCAAAATATAACCATATTCCATGCTTATACATTTTTTACAGACCATTTTATGCCTTTTTGACACTTTTCATTCTAATTTTCATAGTGACCATGATGATTTTAAATCTAGGTAATGCACTGTTCATATCTTCCACATAGACAAAATAAAGGGCTGCCTGGTATCAGATATGAATTTCACTGGGTGGCTCATTAGTCTTTCAATTTATGAAATCCAATAACTCACATAGTTCAATTTTAGTTTTAAATCTACATACTTTTTCCTTTAAATTTCCATACTACAATGTAAGTCAATTAGAATGTTTTTTAATAAAAGTCTGCTTTTGTATGTGAAAAATGTACCTTTGTGTGTGTGTGTGTGTGTGTGTGTGTGTGTGAGCAGTAAGGGGATCGCAACCCTCGGCATGGTTTGGTCTGCACTGCACTCAGCCAGTGAGCGCACTGGCCATCCCCATATAGGATCTGAACCCGTGACCTCGGTACTACCAGTGCCACACTCTCCAGAGTGAGCCACTGGGCCGGCCCAGAAATGTACCTTTTATAGCAATTTTCCTAGATCATTTTTAGACCTGTTAAAACCTATAATAAAGGCTTAGCCATTGTTACAATACTAGAATAGAATACTAAAAATTTTTGTTTGAAATGCTTATCAGATAAAGAAAGAAATTCTAAATGAAGTATAGATGAAAAATTGCATCACAAGAAATATTTTATTAGAACTGTGAAGAATCGGAAAGATCACAATTCTACTGGATTCCTCAGCTTCATGTCCAAACTACTTAAA